ATATCTGCTGGTATGATTATTCTTACGGTGCAGGTCTTTTCCATAAATGGTGCCGCGACAGACAGCTAAGAAACCTATAACCTACATTTAATAACTACTTTCTTGTTTCTCTGATATTTGTTAAGAGGTGTGCGTATGTTGTTGTAACGCTGTTTACGAAATAAATAAGAAATTTTACTATTTATATTGTGGAGACATAGTCTTCAATCAATCAAGACTTAGAAATCATACGATCCTTTTCACTCACTATTTGTTGTTGTACCTACAAGTAAAAGTCAGCAGCCTGATGGAGTCCATAAAAAAAGGAATCAGTGGGTTTCATCACTCGGCAAATGAAGGCTAGAATTCCAGCCAGAGCTTCATCCTATCGAAACAAATTTTTCGTTTGTCAGTATATTTCAAGTAAAAATTGTCTCTCTTTTAGCTGCTGTCAGGTATCTGGTTTTTAAAGAAAGGTTTTTACTAAATTGGACGTTCTTTCACTGTATCCAGAATTAATTTTCGTTGAAACTTAATTGACTGACTGTTAATTGGTTATCAAGACCTTCGGCCCGTTTTGACGTATGTGTTTAAACCCGTTTTCTTCAAGCAATGGCAAAAAAATTCTGAAAGCCGGTACGGTTGAACGGTTTGTACTCTTGAACGGCTGAATTTATAAACAGCAGTTTAATTAGAAAGCTTTTTTGTGAAGACCTGGATGACTGAATGACAACGCGGCAATGTAGGCTAGATAAAATATATGATGAATGCTGCCAAACTGTATACAGCTTGCTTCTAATTTGTTGAAATGTTTTCTAGCTGCCCTTATTATTCTCTCGCATGAAAACGCAGCTGACTGACGCGTTCATTCTGACAAGTTGCTGATCCAGTTCATTGATGAACAACGCTGTCGTTCGTTGGGAAGAAAGGCATATCGACATTTTTAATTTAAATGAGACTCAGCACTGGGATAGTCAAACGTATTGCCACTAAATTCCAGCTGCGTAAATCTAATAGTCTTCTGAGGATTTTCAGATAAAGAGAACTTAAAAGAACCTATTCGAAGTGGAGAATCCAACGTAGGAACGGTTGAAACTATTTCCATGATTCGCGACATGATTTACTCAGTAAACAAACACTGTAGTAGCAAGGTAGAGATGGAAGGCTGCACTGACAATCATTCTGTCAGATGGCTTCTTTGAAAACTTTGAAAAGGCTACAAAATGCAATACTGTTATAGAAAAACAAGAACCTGGAAGTAATGCAGGAGCCCGTTTAGATAGGTTTAGGCAATGGTGCTGCTCGCCACTCACCAATGATACCTTTACGTGACGAAAACTTCACAGAGTGCTCTCAACGTCTCTGAATCCGTTGAACTACAGGAAGAGTGGGGAAACGTTGGCAATAGCTCACGGGGGTTAGCATCCTGAATGAATCGCCAAATAATTACTCATTAAAAGATGCTCAGAGATAAACAGAAACCGGAAAATAAGTCTGAATAACACCTACCCCCCAGTAAACCAAAGGACGCGATTGGTAAACGGACCTGGAATGCCATAAAGATCTTCGTCACCAGCCAAAATTCGAGAATGTTATCGACTGACGCAGTTACTGACGGTAACTCTACGGAAACGGATAAGATCAAGGAGGATGTCATTGCAATCTACGAGACCAGAAGATCTGTCGAACTTGTTGCGCAGCGAAACAATGGTGACAAATTATTCCTTGCATGGACTTTGGAGAACCGAGCTCAGACCGGTGTCGTTGGATTTATAAGTAGAAAGAAAGCAGTACTATTTGTACTGAATTGAATATTATATCATCAGGTACAGCTATTTTACTTCTACAGAAAAATGGAAAATAGACGAAAGAAAAACAGCAAAAATAATCCAAGCTTAGAACCCAACTAAACAAACTGAGGATGAAGAGATCGAACCATTCTACAAGAGACTGGAGGGCGAATTTGAGGGAAAAAATTATGTACATGATTATCCAGTGAGAACTCATCACAGACCTCAGGAAATTACACAGATATTTATCGGTAAATAGGAAAAAGGCGAAAGAAATGAACATTGAGATTGTTTCGCAAGTTTCCCTGAAAGCAGAATGTACAATGTCTTAAGAGGAAATGACAATTATGTCATCGCTTGCCAACAGTTCTACGGAATACATCGGGCAAAAAGAGATGCAGAAAGAGTGGAAGATGTACAGAATAATTTTTTGATATAGAAACGCGACTCAGAAGATCTCAGGAACAATCGATCAATTACTCCTCTTGCAAACCAACGGTCTTCGCTCGTTTAATTCTTAGCCTTATGCAGAAGTACATCGAACCAGTCACCAGTCGGGAGACAAACTGGTTTTCGTACATAGTTTTTTACCATCGATCTGCAGAGGAGGTCACGCAGCTGATGGAGAAATGCAGTGAATATTAATTGCCACTTTTGCATTCATTGACTTCAAGGCGGTGTTTGGTTCGCACGAGTTGACGGTTGTCTTGAATGACTTGCATGAACACAGCATTAACCCTATTTTCGTCAGCCTGATCGAGGCTGCATAACTGATACCAAACTGTTCAGCAAACCGGTATCCATCAAGGAGTGCGCCAAAGAAATACCATATGTCCTTGGAGTGCCGTTCAGCCTGCTTAAACTGGTGCAAATGCATCAATATTGATGGAGATCGGCGAACGCAGTTGATTTTTTTTGCGGATGATGT